ACAGAATCCCCCATTCTTATACAGAATGTCGACGCAGCTCGAATTTATGTTTATTTTTGTTGTTTTTTGTTAATAGGTCCAATATGCCGCCAAAAAACTGCGATCAAATTTTCTTAAAGTTTATTTATTTATTTTTTTTTTGTCAATGATTCCTTTATTTTGGAATATTATAAATCAACATGTTTTATAGTTGTCATCGTTATTTTTTAAGGATTTAATTTTACACAATAATTATAAAACTCGTTTTCTCCACAGAATTTATTTTTCATTTAGTAGCTTACTGAGGCTACCCCAAGCTTTTTGACCCAGACCAAGTAATTGGGATTAAGGCGAGGAAAAAAAAGTAGCTTACTGAATACCAAGATTTATATTAGCTGCTCAATTAATAAAACATTTTTATTACTATAAACTGTGATAATATATTTTTTATATGTCTATTAACTTTATTTATTTACAGTTTTGATGTATTTACAATAAGAGTAGTTAATGAATTTTTTATTTTATGTTCACGAGTAATAAGCAATTAATGAAAATAATGTAATTGTTTGTATTTATTTTATTTTATTTTTATTAGCTTTCAATACAAAGTATTATTGTAGCTTAACAATTAAATAAAATGAGAAAAGAAAAAATAAATAAAATAATAAAAAAAATAGTACAATTGATCTTACATCAACAAAATTACAATAAAATTACAGTAAAAATCGTTAAATAAAAAAACCAGCTGAATGAATGAAAGAAATAACTACAGAAATTACATCGAGAGAAGTTGAGTTAAGAATAGTGTAACAATTAATAGGAGAGATATTAAGATGAGATAAATTATTAAATATGTATTTATTTTAACGATAAAATAAATGTAAATATTTTATAAGATTATTCAATTATTTTAATATATACATTATAAATATTTTTCAAGTAAAACTTAAATAACTAATTACATGATGATTATCAAAGCTCCGTCACTCGACAATAGTTTGATTTCTAATTTAACACGTTTCATCTATGATTATTTTAAATAATTTCACGTCTTCGAGTAATATTTACATTATATATTTATATTTACTGAAGAATTGAACATTAATTTTAAAATATGATAGCATTGCACCCTATTTTTTAAAACCTTCTTAATAAATATTATGTCATAAAGTGAACAAAATAGATCTATTTTTTAGAATGAATGGCTATATTCATTCATTCTATGACTCGCTTTAAAATTAATGTAGATCTGTAGGGTAAAATATTAAAGCTTAATATTTAAAAACTCATCTACTTACACGAGTATCAGAGTTATCATCTATACTTACTAAAATAATAAGTAACTTTTAGATAATTATGTAGAGAGGATGTGTAAAATAATGTGAATAATAATTTTTCGTATATGAGTTAATCAAACTATATTGTCCATATCGGATAATCGGTTAATAGATTTTAAACAAATAGTAGACCGGATATTATAGTAGATATTCTTCCCTCTAAATAAAACAACCGGATATAATTTTTTCAAGAAACTGTCCCCGGTTATTTAATCTTTTTTATATTCATAAACACATTACTAAATTCATATTTGTAAATCTGTTTTAACAGAAGATCTTTAAGCATAAATAACTAGTTTTAAGTTCATGCAAAATCCATTTTAATTTAAATAGATATTTTTTAACTCAAATATTTGTGATTTGACGTAATTCTAAAATATTACATCGAAATCCTAATATAATCAACAAATGTATTGTTAATATACACCTAACAATTATTTTTTTATACACCAAACAAAAAATTTTGTATAAAGAATAAATCATTTATCAAACAAAACAAATATTTTATTTGAGTAACAGAAATATTATTGATTTAACAATAAAAATATTATTTAAAATTAAAAATTATATTTAAACCTAAATGAAAAATATTTTTACTCATAAAAGCAAAAAATATCTAAAAAACGTGGATAAGTATTTCGGGAATAATGTTACCATTATCTGAGATACTGAAACTGAAGTAGCCAAACTAAAATATTCAATGAAATACGCCAAGTTAATATAAAAAAATATAAAATTACCCTATTTTAACCTATATTGAAGTTTTGATTTTTTTTTTACATCTTTCAATACATAGTATTAGTCTGACTATTATCTTTTATTACTATTATTATTTTAAAGGTATTTTGTAGAAATAATGCTCAAGTTTTGAGAGTATCCTGAGATAACTGGATTCAATAACTGATGCCATCATAATGACAACTTACCCTTAAAGCTCTTGACTTACGTTGTTCTTTCAATACAGGATACTCCGTAATATATTAATACAAGACGTACTGCAATGATTCACACCTAATTTCTTGATCAAATAATACATGCACGTCTATTATTATGTAATAGTAGTTAAGAAAAACTTTCAAACTTCTCCGAACATATCGAAATTAAAAAAAAAAAAGTATGAGTCTATTATAAAAAAAATTATAATGCACTTGAAAAATCTTCATAAATTACTGGTTCAAATTATTATATTATAATATAATAATATATTACTAAATAGTGTGATTATCATTATAGATTTGTAAAAATAAATCATTATATGATTTATTTTTTTTTAGTTTTGTTTTTTTAATTTGGCATGTATATTCGGATCATCAGTATTATTCTAGCAATAAATAATGGTTTATCGGATACATGGAAAAATATTCATATTGATTCATCCCTAATATAAGTAAAAAAAATGAATATTTCCTTGAAAGAAAAAAAAGTATTTTTTAAAAACATTATAAAGAAAATATAAAACTAGTTTGATTGTTTACTTAAAGTTACTATTAATATTTTATAAAAAAAAAATTAGTTGTAAGCGAATAAGAATCTTATTTTTAAACTTCATGGTCTATTTTACTGTTTTAATATTTTATAGTTGCTTCATTTATCATTTGTTATTTATTTGTTAAAGTTTTTTTTTAACTAATTCATAAGATAGTTTTGTTTGACAACTACTTCATTTGAGTGTCAATTTTATAAATTAATATTGATTTTAAATTCTGATTTGATATGAAATATTAATTTTAGTGTCTCTACAAAAAAATCTTAGTAAATAAGTCAATAAACAGTTTTCCTTCTTTTAATTGTAAGAACTATGAACTATTTTTTTTATTAAATAAGTTAAATACCTTTTTGTTAACAACTTAGTTTTAAAGGAAATTATTTGGTAAAATATTCATTGTTTACACTTAATACATCAGTATGATATGAAATAGAATTCATTAATTCGTCACGTTTTACACATAAACTACAATTCATTTGACTGGCGTTTATTTTTTATCTTTATCGTTGAGGGAATAATAATTTTTGTGCTTTATAGAATCTCCCTTGTTGCTACCTATAGTTTTAACTCATGAAAAATTGACGTCATGGCAGAACATTATAAACTAAAATTTTTCACGCAAACGTCAAGACATGGGGTCGAAGTAATTTTTCCCTATTCTCGAGACGTCGCCTGAATACCCTCCCTTACCCAATCTCCGTTTTTATCTTTATTTGTTATCTTTTCCTCCTTGCCACCACGCTTAAAAATCACCTGCATGACGAATAACTGTTACTCTTCTCTATTTCTACTACTGTTGCCATTTATACGGTATTATAAACGAATACATAATACACCCTTGGAATGACCTTTCTGGTATCGCTCACATTACAACACAACTCTCGGGGATTATATACTATGACGCTAAGCTTGAAGTATTGACAGATACTGTAGCGGTCTAGTTGAGTTGGCTGTACGCGTTATCGGTCTACCTGTCGCCACAACTACTAAGTTTACTGCGGCTAAATCGGTTTATAGAACTCTAGTTTGTACATGCAATAGTCGACCTCATTGGTTTATCATGTTAACGTCAATAGCGAAACTTTGTCTCTTCTCTGCAAATTCCTGTGCTGTATGTACCTTACACGATAATCCTTCATATATTCCAATAGATTATTATCTAGATTTATAATACTTACTTCATAAAAAAATATGTGCTCCAATTTTTCTTTTAGCAGATTATTAGGTGATTAAAATTAAAAAAAAAGTTTTATTTTCTAAAATAAGTTTATTTTTCTTATGAAAATGTTTGTGGTACGTTTAGTGAATGAATTGTGTTCGATGGCATTCACAGTAGAAAATGTAGAGCAGGGTGTAAATGCTGGGAAGATAAATTTTAAAAGTATTCAAGAACATCTTTATGTATGTAAAAAGTTGAATATAAAATTTTGTCTAAACAATTTTGTTTTTAGCTTTTTTATTATAAATGTAATATAACTTTTTTAACGCGATTATTTACTATTTAGTTATATTGAAATGTACTTAGACAATTTCACTTAAATAATCATTTACTGTATTTTTAATGTTATGAAAGTATTTTTTTAGTTACTTTTTTATTATTAAATTATTTTTATTTTATTAGTATTTTATGTTTAAAATGTTAGAATATGTTAGATGTACTGTATTAAACATTTAATATGTATTTATGAACAGTTTTCTTAGTTTGCTTTTATTGCATTTAGGATAGTAAATTTTTCTTGTCTGCACTATATATCTTTCATAAATCATACATAAAACGTATATATATTATAGGGTTATTTAATGCGACCAGAACGGAAATAACTAATAAATTGTATTTTTCTCTGTTATCGTTTAGAATTACTTTCCACTCGAAAAAGAAATAAGAGTAATCACTGATAGTGTTGAACTCGAAAAATCCTTATTATTATAAAGGTTCATGACAAATATTGGTCCCTATATAGTTTTGTGCAAATTCAAAAACAAAATAAATAAAAATAAGCTTTTGTCAAGCACCCTTAAGAAGAAGATATTGCGATTGGAAATATTAGTTTTAGCTCATTTAATTCCTTTATGATGACATGTCAGTGAAGTTAATCCCGCTTTTCCCCCTTTTCAGGGAAACTAATATTTAAAATACACCCTATTTATCCATATATAGCATAATTTATTTATTTGTTATTATTATATTTTTTTTTCAGAATGGCGAAAGAGGCTATTTGGAAGGCTTGGCATCGCGTTATGCTGACTTATACAATACTCACTACCGCGATATTTTGGAGTACCTTGACGAACTACGGGCTACCGATTGGGCTGAGTTATCTCCAAGGATCACTTTACTTGCACCTTCATCCCCATCGCGTTCGCCGTCTAATATAACTATCGGCAACAATCCATACTCTCATCACTTGTACGCGCCTGGAAAATACTCGGTAAGAATGAACGTTTTATATTTTTTTGACGAATAAAATTTATATTCTTTATTATAAATTTAGAGAAAAATTATTTGTATTCAAATATTCCTGAATTTTTTCATCAATGTGTCAATATTTTTCCCTATAAATTTAGTTCTGCGTAGTTTTGTTAAATACAACAAATAATAAATAAATTTTTGAGTTTTTTAGCAATATAACATTATTAAAACGCTATTAACTTCGGTATTACCGTTTATGTTATATTCACGAATACTTCCTTTAAGAGAACATTTCAAGATAGATACTTTTATAACTATTTCAAATGTTCTTTGTTAAATAAAATTATAAATCTTAATGATAAATTGTGGTGTTATAAAATTGGTATAACAAACAATTTTAATGACCACTGTTTTAGTAGTTATTTTATGGTCGATACCGCTTCGTTTAAAACATAGTTCGTGTGATTTAAGCTGCTAAGCTTTTTTTCCTAAAGATTAGTCACGCTTAACACTAGTACCCGAGTATTGTAATATACTTACTATCCTAATCTTTTATTATGTTCAAATACACATAATTTAAATTTATTATTCGCCAGTTTTAGAAAATATTGATCACATTTCGTGACATAAGTATGAATTATAAAAATATTTTTTTATAAATTAAGCCTGGAACATTTTGAAGAAATCTAATATTATTTCATGTAAAAATATTCAACAATAACTTAATAAATTTACATTTTGAATTTAAAAATATGAATTTATATTTCCATAGGGTTAAATTTAACTTTAGTAAAAAATCTAAACATTTTATTTTGTGTTAAATAAAGAAACATATTTATTTTATCACAATAGGAATCGTTTAACTTTACAGATTCGACATTTTATTTTTATTTGCTGACTAAAGTGTATAAGAAATCCGATTTGCTGAACATTTGATAGGTTTATTGGTTTAAAGTGGATATATCTACGTACAGCCTAAAAAATGAATACAAGTCGTTACTGTGTATCAATGTAATTGGCGGACGTTTCAATCGACGACGGGTCTTTTGTGTGTAGTTGCTGTTAAGTGAGGGTAGCTTGGTCCTCAGGGACTTTAAGGAGCAAGGTTAGACGTTCAAAGAAGTCGGTTTGTATGGGACAAGAAGTGCAGAACGTGTGAACCGCATGGGAAAGGTGTGGGTGATAGTATAGAGAAGATAAGTCTTCTACTCCGCGTTGATTGGGAAACTTTTTGTCTGTCTTGTACGTGTTACGAAATTTTAGTACGCACTCCAGTAGTTTAGGATAGTAATAAGCAGTGTGTATTCCAATAGTGTATAAATTTATTATTTTTATTTTTCTTCTAGCCGTCTAGCTGTTTGAGTGATCGTGAAGAAGACGAGATATATGGACTAACGACGGCCGAACGACGTTTTCCACCAGCTGCTAATCGACAACCCGTTCACATGGCTACTACCATGCGACAACAATACTGTACACAAAAACCGTGAGTAAATTTTATATAAACTCTTTAGTAAAAACGAATCTTATTTTATGAATAATTTTAAATGTAGCTTCATATACTAAATATATAACCTCATAATGAGATAAAAAAAAAAATAGGTAATTGATAGTTTTCATGAGTATCAATGTAGTAATAACAATCAAATAATATTTTATGCTAAACGAAATTGCAATTCATTAAAATATATTAACCAATTGAATGATTGTGATTGAGAAAATGTGTAATATTTTGCAGAAGTTATATTGTTTCGACCAATAATTATTTCTTTCTTTACTCTTTTAATTTTATTAATGCTCTTGAAAAATAAAAATACTTCTAGACATAAAGTCAAATAATGACCCTATTCCTGTTGATATTTATATATCTAGCAATTAGCGCATTCTAAAAAGCTCAAAACTGATATAATTGTTAGGCATATCGTCGCTGATGTTTGATAACACTCATAATATATAAAAAATACCCGTAAGTTACAATAAAAATGATTATTTTAATTTATTATTTCATATAACTTCAAGTATAAAATATAATATTTCTACGTTTTGAAATTTACGGTAGTTTAAAGTAAAAATATGCAATTCAATTTTAAAGATGTACTATCTTTTGCAAACAAGAAAACAGTATTTTATCTTCAAAATAAATCTTATACTCTTCATGTGTTTTCTTGAGCTTAAGAAATTCCACTTTAGACGCTATAACATATAAACCGCTTAGTTAGACTAAACTTTGTAGAACATATTTATCCAAAGTTGTTCTAAAAGTACACCGTGTTGATTAGAAAGTATTCTGCGTTATTTATGTGCGTTTTAAAGTAAATCTCAATAGACAAATAAGGTTCTATCTAAGCCATAAATAAATCACTTATAAGTTTAATTTTTGTAATACAGTATTACTAAATTGGCCAATAATAAACAGTAGAATATTTAAAGATTATATTTTGTAAAAGATAAGTCGTCTTAACAACAATAGTCGATTATAATTTTTTATTTTGAATTTCAACTTATTTTTTTATTTTGTAAAATGAATAATAAATTATTTTCGAATAAAAAATTGTTTAGTATTTTGAGTCATTGTGCTTATTTATATGAATCTGTTCTGCCTACTATTGTAGCTATTTGAACTGAAAATATCACGTCAAGTAACCTTTGAGATTTTTTTGATCAACGGTAATTTTTCCTACTGAATTTGTTCGATAAATAATTTTCCTGCGTATTTAATGGTTAGTCATTTTAGACGTTTATTTTATTGTTTTTATATATCTAACTAAGTATATTTTTAATATTTATTTTATACAAATATTTTGATATTTTGTTATTTTTTTTTTATTCTTAAATTTTCAAACAAAATACTTACCTAATAATTCTGTTTTGAGTACAAAAGTTAGCTGTCTACTCTTGTATTAATCAATAGCACAATTGTAAGTTGTCTTTAAGGAGGAGCAAACAAGTACGTTTAAGTATTTCTCGAGCAAACGTGACGTTTATTTTTCATGTATTTGTTTCCCCTTGGGCACCACACGTATTTTACATGACTTTCCAATGCATAAGCGATGTTAGACCTCGTGGGTTTACAACTGTGACGTTTAAATTAAAACTCCTTTGGTTTACATGGCGAGCGTCCCTGGCTTACCATTAAAGACTAATATATTCCTGTACCAAAAATTCATGTAAACCGATTTTGAATTTCTAGTTAGAGTATAACGAGTGCACAGTTATTACCAAGTGAACGTATATCCTGCTAAGTAATTAACAAATCTTATGATCATAATATTTAAAAAAATTTAATGAGTATATTATAAATACACTCGCTAATTTCCTAATTGATTATGAGCTTACATATTAATAACCATAGAATATTTTGAATATCTTTTTTATTGTTTATATAGCTTCTGTATTATTTAATAGATTTTTGTAATGCGTATAAAAAATAATATTTTATTAACTTTTTCTTAACCTAAACGAGGCATACGATTAACTGTTGTTTTCCAAATAAATATAAGCTCACTATAAATTAAATTTTGCATTGACCATTGGAGACAGTTCGTGATAAAAAAAAAGATATGAGCTTATAAGAAATGTGGTGCAATAAATATTTGTCCTATAATATAAAAAAAAATACATTTGAATCGCGTGTCCAGCTACATGAACGCCAACTAAATTATACAAAGACACTGAAATCGATGAAAAATGTATTCATATTATGTCGTATAAAACATTATATTACTTTTTATAATACTTAATTTTATTTTAATCTAACTCGTTGATAGTCTATGAAATATGTTTATAGTTCATGTGTTTTTAATACTGCATTAAAATAAATTATTATATGATTTAATATATTACGTTTCTGTGTTTTGAAATAAATAATATTATCAATCAATAATAATAAAACGTTTTCTGTGTGTGCGTTCTAATAATAAATATCAATCAGCATTAGAGTTCATATAGTGATAATATTTTTTTATTGTTATTGTACAACTTTTTTTAATTCCATCAAAATTTAGTGCATTTCTGTGTAAATTACTTCCAATTTTATGCTTACAAATCACGATTAGTCAAATGAAATGTTTTTTTTTTTAATAAATCAATATAGCTGCTCGTTTATATAACGTTTGTAGTTTTGTTTAATTTAAATTTAATGTAAACATTAATCATTCTAAAATGTTTCTATAAAACGCAACTTAAAGTGCCCTTCATTTGCCTATAGGATAACAAATCACTTTTGTCTTTTTGAAAAGCAGCTTTCTGTGTCGCATAACGTTTGCTTAATGATTACATTTTAATATAAAAATTACATATTAATAGCACTTCATTGACGATATTAAATTACAATCAAATGTTCTTGTATAAAATATCAAATTTGTTAGAGTATTCAATTTCGATGGATAAGGTAATAAGAGAATTTAACAATCAACAAAAGTTGTGTGACTGGTAAGCCTTGTTTTCCGGACCACTTTTCAACGGATATTCTTCTGTCGCAATTTGGGCACATAAACAACAAAACAATTCGAGTTGTAGTTTCCAAAATCAGAAAAGTCAACTGACTGAATGACACTTGATGTGTGTAAAACTCACATTCAAGGGTCGGTAAATTTGTTCGACCACGTGTAATAAACTGATTTCGATTCAATGTTGTGTGGACCAGCCTTGCCGCAGTCAACATAGCAGTATATACATAGTAATAAATGCAATATCGCTTTTGATACAGGATTTGCATAATGAGTGGTACCGTTTTCCCCTTATCGTTTGTATGAAGGGGGTCCGTAGATGGCTGGCGGAGGATATTTACCGTCGTTGCTAACGGATAAGCAAACGCAAATTATACGGTTGATTTATAGAAGAGAGCGATGGAGCACCACGTTACCTGGATTACCTGACGATAATCAAAGTCCGAGGTTCATTACTATAATAATCATGGCGTCATCGTACAAGCGCAGGGTTAATCCCTCCGAAACACGTTCGGCAAACAACTGTGTGGATAACGTCAAAATGCATAAACGGTATAATTTCATGATATTGCAAATACTAGTGCATTCATGAATGAAGAACAATAAAAAATTAGGTTCATACAAATCACAACGTATGTATAGAATACATTGTATATATTTATTCGTGTAAGTTAATACCAAAAAATTATACGGATTAGGATTAGTAGAATTAAAAAATTCGTTTGTTACTTTTTTCTCCAAAAAATTACTTGTAAGTAATATAGTACAATTTACGGTTCAGTATCAATATTGCTAAATAGGTCACGTGTTCGCCGAATTCTCTACGTCGTTGTTTCAGACTGACTAAAAAAGATAAATTTACACCTTTGCATAAAGAATCAAAATTCCGTGACACTGTTTGCAAGTCTTATATCAATTATTAATTAACTTAAAAAAGTTGTAGTGTAAATTCGTAACGCATATCAGGACAAAAACGAGAAGACTGCATTATTATCATTCACCAGATAACTTCTGTGGTTATTATTAATATTTTATTCCCCAAAAACTCCTTATTATAAGAGCTATATATGACAAATGCGGAAACTCAAAAATTGATTTATCATTGTAATCGATGGAACGCCCCGTGGTATATGTTTATCGTTTATTGCGTTGGAAAGACTGTCAGCTTGTTTTTTAACAACGATAAAAAAACAAAATTGAAGAACAAATTCAATATACTTTCCGTTTTACTTGAATTTTTATTCATATAAAAAACGTTGGGCGTAAAGGAAAAAGTCAGTTTAATTCTCGTAGCATGCATCGTTCTACAAATGTATAATATATTACTAAAAATATAACTTTTATTTAATGCTTAAAAACGGGAATTCAAAAGTTGACAAAATTTAATGTTTACTCCTTATCCTGCGTACAATTTATAATGGAAATGCCTATTTAAAAACTATATCTAGTTTTAATACTTATTTTACATACAACATTAAGGTTATCTTGTATTAAGAAATGCTAATTTTGTTTATTAAGTTAAAGTTATCGTCAAGTTTGTTCAACGTCATCATATATTTATAGAATATACTTCCTCGACTTTAGTCTTCGAACCTGCAAATGTTATTTACTAAACTTCAAAGTAACAGAAAAGGTTTGACAAACGATTGCTAGCTCTAACCCTTCAATTATATATTACCTGTCCAACTAAGTATTATTCAATAAATTTCCTGTCAGCGAAATTCTTAATAACCCAAAGCGGATTTTAGTGTGGCAATTGAAATTCAAGTCCAATTTATGGTCAATTCCTAAAGTTAATTGTATCCACCTTTATTATTTTGCCAATAAAAACAAAATTTAAATGTTAATAAATATACTTAATAAATTTATATAAATGTGTTATAAGATTGTTAAGTTTTAGGTTATTTTATCGTTGTTAAAGAATGTAAATATTAATATTTTACACTATACCCTATTGATTTCCATAGCCTTTTAGACAGTTAAAGATGGCAGTCTCTCTAAGATCATGACATTTTTATAGTTATTTATTGGACTATTG